ACATCTAATGGCTTCTCTGGAGTAATGTTGCTTGGAGATGAGCAGCTTTTCAGCTGATCAATGTGATGATGCCAAACTTGTCCACTGGCAATCTGGACCTTATATGAGATAGAACCAGTGACCTCAATGACTGCTGAAGGAACCTACCTCCATAACTTCTACAAAGACACTTTCTTGTTGTGTGAAGGAACCGCAGGGTAGATGATAGGGAGGAATCCAGAGCATGATCCTGCTTGTGTTCCAATTCCTCAGATAGGTCATGGTTGAGATGTTGAACCCATGTCTTAAGACATTGTCCCATGAGTAGCTCGGCTGGGCTAACTCTGGTACTTGGGCATGGAGTGACATGTTGTGTAATGAGGAATCTGGCAAGCCTTGTCGGCCAGTCTCCCTTGATGATCCTCATTATAGCATCTTTGGTTGTTGCTGTTCAGCTGGATCATTTGCTTGGTGATGGCATGGGGCAACGGTGACAGCTCGAATAAGATTGCTTTTGGTGAAGTTCCTGGACTCGTCAGCTGTAAAAGCAGTTTCGTTATCAGATATGATAGTATCTGGTGATAAATGAGTCATGAACAATTGACACAGAGCAGTGATCGTTGCAGTAGTACTTAGCATGACACTCCACCATTGCATTTGTGGTAACATGACTGAAGGTGTTGGCTTGTTATTGGAGAGAATTCCTAGATGTGTCTTGTAGTCAGTATGAATCTCAAACACAGACTGTAAATGTAATTGTGGAATTTCTTGGCTGCAGCAATGGCAGTGAGATCATCTTTATCAATTTGTGCATAGTTTCTCTCAGAGGATGTAGGTGATAGGTGCCTCTTTTCTCTCTGGAACGGGTTGGCTGAGAATGGCTCCAACGCCATAATGTAATACATCATAGGTAATGATCAATGGCCTCTGTTTTTCATAGTGAATGAGGATGGAGTCAGACGTCAGTAACTTCTTGACATTCCTGAAGGCTTCTGCATGCTGGCAAATCCATTTCTTTGGAGCTCCCTTGTCAAGAAGGTGATGAAGAGGTTCAGTAACTGTTGCCTTTTTTGGAAAACATGGTAGTGGAAGTGTTGCCTGGATTTGAGGGGTGTGTGTACCCCAGAATGTGATCAAGATAATTGCAACCATATCATGTGCATTCAGCTACTATGACTTAATAAAATAGAACACCACATAGTTAAGGTTTAATTTGATTAAGGAGGCTTCTGAAGGCAAGGTCAAATGCTAGCTGTATGCTGGCAGTTTCTGCTAATCAGAATGGGAGGAGGGGAGAGAAAAAGTCAACAATGGAGACTGAAAGCAAATAAGTGGAAGAGAACCTTCAATTTGGGTGCCTTTGATATAGAATCTTATTATGATTAAGATTGTTAGGAATGTTTGTTGATAAATAGTTTATTGATGTTAGGAGAAAGCGATGACTCAGTAGGGATCACTATGAGCTATGTGTTTTGTAAAAGCTAGTTATAAAGAGGACTAGATATAGAATGTACTTTGGAGCAGCCCTCTGAAGATGTCTGTAATGGGGTTGGCACCCACCTCTCATGAGTGCCCCCTTCTGGTTGAGCGTGTCTGAGTTCTTTAGTTCTGGTGACCCCTTTCAGTGGTTCTCAGGTGGGTTTGCCAGTGACACAGTGCTCCGGCCGAGTCACACTGTCTGCCTGTTAACCAGCATAAACCGCTTTCGGGTATATGGTCCACCGAGGCCTATCTCAATACCCCTCTGCTGGTGTCTCTCTCTAGCCCTCCCTGGGCTTTGGTCTTTAAGTAGTCCAGACCTGATATGGGGCTGTATCCCCAGGGCTTCCTCCCTGGAGACACTATCTTCCTGCAGCCCTCCCCAGGCTTAATCCCTACTCAGTCCTAGCAACCAGCCAGGAGCTCCCTCAATGCTCACCCGGTCCCTGCTAGCAAACCATCCATGGCACTGCTGATCTTCCAGGCAGCTAGGACTGCAGTCCTTTCTTCTGCTCCAAGCAGCAACTAACTACTGCTCTGTACCTCCTTTTATATGGACCTCCTAGGCCCTGATTGGCTGCTTCTCCTACAGCTACTCTAACCTGCTTGGAGGACCACTCCACTGCTTCTTTCCTAGGATGGATGTGGCAGAACCCTGAGGTCTCCAGCAGGAGGCCTTTGGGCCTAGTCCACCCCATCACAGTGTCCTAAGAGAGACATTTTTCCTGACACCTTTTCTCCCCAGCAGGTAAACAACTGGCCACTGCAGACCAGCTGTCAATTACTCAATACCTGCTCAGAATTTAAGTAAATGTTTGGGATGTTATATTCCTATTTCTTATGTCTCTGTGTGCTTAATTGGAATAAATTGTAGTTGTAAATAAGAGCATCCTTACTTGTATCATTTTTCATCAGCTGGAGTGCTATGTTCCCACTGAGTTATTCCTGACACTGCCTGCAGTGAAAAAGTTATGTTACCATTGCTGTGGGTTCTGAAAACCCTTGGTAACAGAAGTTGAGCAACCCTAGAAAAGTTTGAAGTTCCTGTTTGGATTTTGGATCATGGATTGCCCGTACCTTGTTTTCTGTTGGGTGGATATCAGATGCATCGACAGCCCAAGAAGGTGACACTTGTAGCTCCAAATTCACATTTTTCCTTCTTGATTCAAATACTTGACTTTGCAAATCAGCACAAGACTTTTCAAAGTTGCTTGGCAAGCTCATCCTTGACTGATACCATAATCAGGATGTCGTCAAAATATACTTATAGCACCTGGAATTCTGGAAAGTAGAGTTCCCATGAACCATTGGAAAATTCCCAATGCAATGAAAATCCCAAACTGGAGACACCTGACTCGAAATTTTCGATGAGTGATCATCGTCTGTGCATCTGCCGCATCTTTGTCAACAATCACTTCTTACATTTTTGGGCAAGATTGAGTTTTCTGAAGACTTTTCCTCCAGCAAGAACAGGGAGCAGTTGGTTAACAGCAGGCTCTGGGTAAAACGCTGTTTAAGTGCCTTGATCAAAGTGCACTTATAATCTCCAAAGATTCTAACTTTGCCATTTAGCTTGAGTATGGGTACTTGGTGTAGCCCATTTCATATCTGTAGCTGGCTCAAAGATTCCCTCTGCAAGGAGACATTCTCGTTCTATGTCAGTCTTTGGACATAGGGCAAATGGTACATTCCTGACCTTCATGTGGATCGGCACGACTGTCGGATCCAGGTGAAACAACTCTGGAGGCCCCTTGTAAGCTTCCAATTCTTCAGAAAACACGTGAGGGAATTCATCAGTGATCTTTCTTATTTACTCTTTGTTGATGGCATAGATGCCTTGCATGTTGATTCCCAGCTGTGTGAACCAGTTCCTGTCTAAGATACTTTTATGTTGACTTTTTGTGATGATGAGAGGCAAATATTCATATTACAGTTTCCGATGAGGTCAACATTTTGTCCATTGTAGTCTTGAAAGCTGCACAATGGATTTGACAAATTGGGAGGACAATGCGAGAAAAACTGACAGAATGTGTCTTCATGGATGATTGACACTGCAGAACCAGAGTTGACTTCCATTTTGCACTCATGATAATTGATAAGCACTGTTGCAAATATTTCAGAACCTCAAGATTCCTTGTTGTGGATGGTTCCAAATGTAGAAAGCTTCTTGATATCATTTTCGAAGGAAGCATCAAGTATGTTTGATGCACGAGGATGAGAATACTGGTCATTGTCCTTTTGTTTCATGCTTTTAACTTTGATTGGCAGAATTTCTCAACGTGACCTTTCCTTTTGCAGAAATGGCACTTTGTGCCTTTGAATTTCCAAGCAGAGTGTTGATGCTGTTCCCCTCAGCCTTAGCAGATGTTCAGGTGATTAATCTGGTCCGATGACATTAATGTGTTTGAGTTCCCATTGTTCTGCTGAATTTGTCGACGATGATAATCTTTCTGATTGTGAAGTACAGCATTCATGTTGGTTGCCATGACACAAATTTCCTCAGTGTGCAATGATGCTGTTTCGGTGGCCAAGACCTTTTCCTGAGGGACAGTGAATGTCAAATTTGGCTCCGCAAGGAGATGGCACTGAAGTGCTTTCTCCTGAACTCTACAGTCAAGGCGATCTCGCAGCATGTTGGTGAGAACATAACCAAAGTTACAATGGTTGGCGATGCGATGCATCTTGGCAATATAGGCGGCAATGCCCTCGTCAGCTCAATGATTTCATTTATGAAATTGAAATCTCCAAACAGTGACAGATGGCATAGGTGAGAAATGTGCCTTCAGCAAAGCTACGATTTTGTCGTATGTCTTGGTCTTGGGCAAAGCTGGTGCAATGAGTGACCTTATAATGAATGTCAAATATCTTGGACCCATAGACTATCAAGAGAACAGCCTGTTTTGGTTAGCAGTCACTGATCTTATTTGCTTCAAGATAATAAGAAACTGTTTCTGAATGAGAATGCCACGATTCAGGGTGAGTTATGTTAAAGTCTTCAGTGTGTCCCAGCGTGGTTATTTCAAGTCAAAGGTGAACAACATTGTTCAGATGCCAAGGTGGCCCCTCTAAACTGGAATACTTGCTGTTCATTTCTGAGATCACAATTTTCTACCTGAGTGGTTCTAGAATCACACTGCTTGTGTTTAATCTTCAATAGAATGCCATGCTTGTGGCCAGAAAAGTTAGGGGTTGTATTTGTGTGGTGAGGAACACGTGTAATCTCTCACAGTCAGCAGCAACAATGAAATCTTATATTTTGTATGTCAGGAAAAGCAAATCTACAGATGAACTGGCCACTAGCAAGGAGGAAACTTCACTGAACGCCAAGCAAAATCCTTTTCTTCTAGACAACAACTGGCTGGCACTAACAGTAGCACCGCTAGTGAGTGAATTCCCCTACATAAAAATGTTCTCCTTTGCATACATAACATTCACCTAAATTGTTTTAACCAAAACTTGCACCCAGCTCCAATCACAAGCTCACACGGGGCTGAAGCTCCAGTGATTTAGCTCTGGGTCAGGGCCTCTGAATGGAAAGTGACTTTCATATTTGCTCCCTCTTAAGATTGAAACACACAGACCTGAGCGACTGAACATCTCCTGCTTCTCTCTCATCAGGTTATAGTCAATCTCCTCATACACGGCCTCAGAGAAGGGATCCAAGGGTCTTCTGGAACCTGAAAACAAAGGGCAGGGTTTGCACAGGGTCATAGAAACCAGAGATGGGAAACCCTAGGGGATCATCCAGCCCCTCCCCCTGGGCCCAGTGCGAGCCTGAACCCTACAGCACATTCCTACTGCTCTGTCCAGACTTGATTTAAATGTGACAGGTGACGGGGACAACATCCCTTTCCACAATCTCTGATACTGGCTCCAAAGGCTAGTTCACTGTCAGGAAGTTTCTTCACATTCAGCCAAAATGTTTCCTCTTTAATCTCATCCCATTATTCCTGATTATTGCCCTTTGGAGAATCTTAAATAATTCTTCCCCCACACTGGTGTTTACACCTTTCTGCAAAATGGTGATAGCACTTTTTTTCCATACAGTTTAAGACTAGAAGCGACCATTAGAACATCTAGTCTGAACTCCTGTATATATTTCACCCAGATACATCCATGTTTGAGCCCAAAGTCTTAGTTAGACTAAAGCATTTCAGTCCTCAGGAGAACAAACTGTTGTGTGCCACAGGCGGAGCACAGGAGGGACTGAGATACCACTAATGCCCAGTGTCCATGCAATGGAAGGGAATTGATTAGGTGAGAGATGCCAGATGATCCTGGAAGGCGATTCCTGCTCCATGCTTCAGAGGAAGATGAAAATCCCCCAAGGTTCCTTTTTTGCCAATCTGACCTGGAAAAAATTCTTTCCTGACCCAAATCTGATGACCCAAATCTCAGCTAGGTGTCTAAGAAAGATTCTTCTCTGTACCATCTCAGAGTCTGTTCCAGCTCATCCAGCCTCCCTTCTATAGCTGTGACCAATCTCAGATGCTACAGAGGAGGGAAACCTGTCCCCCACAAATATGCAAGAGGAGAGAGAGGGCCCAACGCCTTCCTGACCCCTGAAGATGACTATCTGAAGCCCTGAAGCATGAGATCTGATTATATGTTGGGATATGTTAGGGTTAAGTAAAGACTTGGGAAGCTGCTGGTGTGCTGACATGGCATTAAGGGATAAGGGCACAGGCAAGCAGTGTTTCTCCATTTGATAAATAAGTTGCCATCCTTTTCCCTTCCCTGTTGCTTGCTGAGAATTGATAAACATTGCAGCTGCATAAGGAATGTAGTTGTCTAAAGAATACCCTTTGTGTAAAAGAAGTGTTATCTCGCCCTCCCTTCCTTTCCCAGCTATATAGACGAGCCCTGAGTCATGGCCCCTCCCTCCCCTGAGAACTGCTGATTAAGGGAACTTGTGACAACAAATTACTGCAAAGAAATGTATGTTCAAGGTAAAAATGTGTGTATAATATGTGTAATGCTGTAATCAGTCAATCAGGGTGGGTATAATCATAGTATGGGTGTTTCTAGTGCTTAATATGGGATTTGGGGGTGTTATAGCAGATGTAGGCGTTTACATACTAACTTAAATAAAAAGCGTGTGCTGTAACTAATCCAGTGCTTACTGGACAATTGGGTCGAGGGGAACAAGTACCACAATAAAGAAGTCCATCTACTCAATCCGTCTCTGGGTCAGCTTGCTCATTCTTCTCTAACATTATAGACATTGCCCTAGTGCTAAACTGTGACTGTTATGTGTATGTTAATGGCAATCCTGTTCTCTATCTGCCTCCCAGGGTGCTGGTAGCTAATATTTGTACAGTTTTATAGATGCAAAATCCTCTATAAGAGCCACTTATGAGTATAATACAGTATAATGCTCCTTTCCAGAATTTCTCCTTCCTAAGATTCTGTTTCCACTGGATTTCTCTCTACAGAACTATTTTCCCAGCTCTATTTTTGTACCCTTTTTTGTCTGACATCATTTCCAGTCTATGTAGGTCCCTTTCCGTGTTATCTCTCCTCACTGATATTCAGAACTCCTCCTGTGACAGATATTGCAACCCCATGCAGTATCATTGGGAACCATTGTATGAAATCTGTGAATGGTTTAGGTATGATTGTGTTTTACGCCATGGATGAGGGTTACCACAGGTCCTCCAGGAAGAAAAAACAATGGAGGATTATTGAGGTGAAACACTGAGATCGTAAACAATCCAGAGAGGTACCAGGCCTTGGGGCGATGGGCATGGACTGGTACAAACTGGGCTACCAGCAGGGCCGGCTCCAGGGTTTTTGCCGCCCCAAGCAGGAAAAAACAAAACAAAACAAAACAAAAAAGCCGCGTTCGCGATCTGCAGCATTTCGGAAGCAGCTCTACCGCCACCGATTCAGTCTTCGGCGGCAATTCGGCAGCTGGTCCCTCACTCCGAGAGGGAGTGAGGGACCCGCCGCTGAATTGCCGCCGAAGAGCCGGACGTGCCGCCACCCTCTTCATTGGCCGCCCCAAGCACCTGCTTGCTGGGCTGGTGCCTGGAGCCGGACCTGGTTACCAGAGACCAGGAGACAAAGAAAGTCTTTTGGTAGAAAAGGCTGAGTTTAAACAAACTCAGGGCCTTCGTTTTGATTCAGGAAATGAACAGGATCTTCTGCACACGGGAAGGCCAATGCTGTATGATTTGAAGGGACATTGCTGTACCAGGCTGCCCATGAGGAAGATGGGTGATTTCTGGTATGTCTAGTAAGTGTGAAGGAATTTGGTATTTTTTGTGTGTTTTCTCTGTGAAGCTTTTATCCTACTAATAAGGTGCAGTCAGGTGAGAAAGAGTTGGGAGGTAATTTGTAACTGCTGGCAATACACTGTTCATAGCATGCGGAGAGAAAGCACAGCATGGGGGCTGGACTTTAAGCAGCCTGGCTTCTGGGGATATCACAGTGGAAGGCAGGGGGTTGTGCAGCCTTTAGACCCTGGTCAGGAGGAAATGGGACTGGGGGGGTTCTACCCAGAGACAGGGGATGACTGGAGCCTGAGGTGTGATTTGGGACTCCTGGAGTGCACCACGGGGAGGGAACGGGGGGGATACAGATGCAGTTTCCCTTAAACTGTGATGCTCCCTAGCTAGTATCATCTCCAGATTTCATGGCTGGGCTGTTCAACTGCCAGACAGTTAATGAAATATTAAATGAGAGAGGAGTAAACAGGCATCCTCAGCCACCCCACCCAGCCCGGTATCACCCCTCACTCTGACACCCTGCAGTCCCCTTCTATTGCACAGGGCTTTCACACAGTGTCACCAATCAGCACCCACCTCTGCGCTTTGCCCTGGCACTTCGCACCTGCGCCCCCAGGATGATTAAGACCAGGCAGAGCAGGGCCCCCAGGATAATGCAGATGACCACGGGTACCGTGACTCTCCCACTGTCGGTCGGAGGGCGTCGCGGGGGACCTGGATGGAAATGAACATTCGACAAGGAGAGATTATCCTGTGAGAGTCGCGGGGAGAGGGGAGCAAGGAGCTCCCCAGTCACTCATTGCACGGCCCAGGCCAGCAGGGTAACGAGCTGGGACACAGTCTGTGAAGTATGGGGGCAGCTCACAGGCTGCTCTTTAAATCATGGGCCCTGCCCTGTCAGCTGAACCAGCAGACAGGAATCCTCTGGCTCAGCAGGGCCTGCAGCTCCCACTCGGGTGTCCTTCGCCCTCAGATGTCACAGGTCATGGAAAGGAGCTCCTTCCCTCAGGCTGCAGCTTGCAGCTCCTCCTCTGTGACCCAGCCCCAGGGAAATTTAACCCTTGATAGAGAAGGGGGATGGTTTACCTGGGGTATTTGGTGAATCTGTCGTCTGTGTCAGACCTGCAAAGGGAAAGGGAGGAGAGTTGGAGTTTGGAGCAAGGGGGAGGTGACATGTTTGTTACCAGGGGGAACCTCACCTCTGAGAGTCCCTGGTTGTCTCCAGCTATCACCTCCACAAAGTCCCTCAAAGTAGCACAGGGCCTGTATGTTAGTGATTTAGGGCCCAAGTCCCTTGTGCTCTGTGCAGCGATGAGGACGCTACTAATAAACAAGCACACTGGGTCCTGTGATGGATGCAGGGGTTATGTGGGCTGATGCCTGAGCCAATCTGACCCCACAAAGGTTCCACCCCACAGCATCCATGATGCTCCTGCACACAGGACATGGGGGGGCCTGATCTGTGACCAAGGTGGGGGAGGGTGGGCTCATCCATCCTCCTCCCCTGAAAATTACAGTATGTAACAGAAACATCTCCTGTCACTCACCTGAGCAATTCACCGCAGCATCTTCCTTATGGTCACAATTACTCTCACCCCAAGGCTTGGAACAACAGTCCCAGAGAGATGACTCTGTCCCTCTGCAGTTCACCATCTGTACCCAGATGGGACCAGACCCCTCACCGAATGCAGCCTCGCCCAGGGCAGATACAGCAGATCCACAGCCCAGTTGTTTACACACAACGTTAGCATCCGCCATGTCCCAGGAGTCATCACAAACTGTTCCCCAGGAGCCATGGTACCAAACCTCCACTGTCCCCGAGCATTTGTCGTCTCCTCCCACGACACGTAACTTCTCCCGGTCTGGAAATGCAGAAACCTCACATGTTACTGGGACAGCTGGGAAAGTTCTCAGGGACCAAGAGGGAGACACAGAGAAGCAGAGATACCTGTGCAGCTTGTAGAGTTCGGGCATTCGGTAAACAGCGTCTGAGGTGGTTTCCTTTTCCTTCCTATGGAGAGAAAGCTGAGGTGAGTGGATGGGGCAGTGTGTGCGATGCAGGTTCGAGTAGGGATTATCGGTATTTCACACCCCTAATACCAGGGCTTTATAAATTGGCTGAAAGCCAAAATCTGGGTTATTGAATAATTAATTAGCTACTCAGCTGTTACTCTGGATTTTGCAGTCTTTAAGCAGCTCCCTGCTGGTGGGTGTGTCTCTTTATGTAACTGGCAGGACAGTATCTGATTCTCCTCTAGCTCTCCCCGTGGACAACCCCCCTGACCCCTCTGCCCAGAGATTGGAATGGAAACAGACACCTGAGCTGTAACTCACCTTCATTACCGCAGGAACCAACAGAAGAGGGAAAGTAATATTGAGAGGGGGCTCTATAGGAGCTGCAGGTCTGAACTTCCCCACACGGAAAGGCAGTGTTCTCCAGTGGTTATGGTGCTGCACTCGGACTTAAAAAACTGGGGTTCTATTTTTGTTTCTGCAACAGATCTGCTGTGTGACTTGGGCAAGTTCCTTCACCTCTCTGTCATCTGTTTCCCCTCTCACTCGTCTCGTCTATCTCGACTGTAAACTCTGTATGGCAGGGCCTCTCTCGATTTGTGTTTTGACAGTGCCTGGGGCAATGAGGCCTTTGGGGATTTTAGGTGTTACCATAATATAAATAATACTTGAGACACAGATCTACAGATCACCTTCACAGCCCAAACCTCTGATTGTTATTCCTTGGAAGATGTTTACCAGAAAGGCACACGAATCATGTTCTTTAATAGGTAACACTTACTGGCTCTTACTAGAGGCCTGAGCCAATGCTCATTAAGGCACCATGGGTGACCTTGGGACACTTCATCTCTCTGTGGCTCCATTCCCTGTCTGTAAAATGAGGGTAATAATGCTCTCCTGAAAGGCTCTGCTGCTGTATGAGTGAGACTTGAGAGATCAAGATTCTGATCCCAGTAACAAGGATTGCGAAGGGCTTAGAATTTGTTCATGCTAATTAACCATTGAAACAATTTACCAAGGGATATGGGGAGTCTCCTTGATATGAAGTCATTAAATCAAGACTGGATGTATTTCTAAAAGATGTGCTCTAGCTCCACTAAAATGTACTGGCTTGATGCAGGAATTACTGGCAGTCTCTTCAGCCCTTAAAATCTGTGATTCCGTGACTTCACTGGGTGTTGGATTAGGCCCTAATTGTGGTTGCGGTGAAATGTATTTCTGTGTAATAGCGATGTCCGTGTTTGTTATTAACAGGCCACATTACTATTTCTAGAACCTCAGATACCGAAAAGAAGTTTGTACCATTGCTGAGAATGTTATATAGCTATAGATATAGATTTATATAATTGTTATATTTTGTTACTTTTCACTAGATCTTTTTATCAAATACATACACATCTATTTATAATGTATATAAATGTGTATGTATTTGATAAAAAGAGCTAGTGAAAAGTAACAAAATATAATAATTACATCAAAATCTTTCAGTGAGCTAGACCTGACTGTTGAATGTGTGTGTGTATATATGTTTGCTATTTACCTTCACAAGCAATATGGGTTTCTTCTACTCTGTTACACGATTGTTGTTTCCAAGGGTCTGACGGGCATTGCCAAAGGGAGCTGTGCTGCTTATCGCACCGAACACCATCCACCCAGGTGGGGCCAGAGCCGCTTCCATGTGTAAACTCTTTCAAAAGTGTCCCTCTGTCTCCACAGTCCAAGTGTTTGCATATAAGTGCCCTGGTGACGGCATCCATAGGACTGTTGCAGACACTGCCCCAAGTCCCACTGTAGAAAACCTCCAGTCGCCCAGCACAGTCACTGCCACTCACCAGTCTCAGATCCGTGAATTCTAGGAGGAAATGCAGAAGTTGGGTGTGAAGTTTTCTGATTCTGAAATACACGAGGGGTTTAACGGCTCAAATCCCAGAGATCGCTAACAACTCTGCCCATTTTTCTACAGAAAAATCAGAGACATTCTTCTGGAGACCAGTGACCTGCCCATGAGCAATGAAATTATTATTTAAAAGACACCATTTACCAACAGTTGCAAACAGTGGTACCCGAGATTCAGAAATCAAGGTGACATTTGCAGTACCCCTTGGTATTAACTGTTGGCAATGCTGACTTTTTAATGGTGACCACTGCAAGTGGGTAGGTAGCGGGGAGAGAGAGAGAGAGAGAGAAAGGAAAAAGGACATAAACTTTCTGACATCCTCAGCTCACTCCTCAGACACCCATATACTTCATGAAGTCCCCTGATTATCAGACCCACGGGAGCATTCAGAGAACAGACCTGAGCAGAGAACTCCTGCATCCTCTTTGTGTCTGCAGTTGTGCTGGCCCCATCCCCTGGAAGGACAGTCCCAGAGATTGGATTCATTCCCAGCGCAGTTCACATCATCCAGCCAGATCTGCCCGGATCCTTGCCCATCATGAGCAGAGACAGTTGCATTGATGGCGTGTCCACATCCAAGTTGTTTGCAAACGACATTGGAGTCTGACAGATCCCAGGAATCATCACAGACTGTCCCCCAGCTGCCATTGTAATAAATCTCCACTCTCCCGGCACAGCGACCTGCCCCATTCACCAGTCTGATCCGCCTGCTCCCTGCAGGGATAGATCCCAACTGTCAATGTGCAATATAATGATAACTAAACAGCTTCCATGCAAATCAATGATGATGCTACAATGGCTGAGATATTGAAAAATGTGTGTCTTTAACAAGAAACAGTCAGTAGAATTAGGAAATGTTGAAGACTTTGTGAAGAAACTTCTGCTAAAAGCATTTAAAGGGACAGGACCTAACCCTGAACCTTTAGTCATCTGAGTCATCCTTATGGGACAGCTCTTGTAAGTAAGAACTACTAGTGAAGCTAAAGCTTGGCAGAATCAGCTCCTACTTGGAAAACTTGAACATTTTCAAACAGTTCTTCAATAAGCATTTTAAGAATGTTCAGGAAATTTCAGATTAACAAATTTACCCCAAATTCCAATTTTCTTTTACATTTTTACAGAGTTGGAAGGTTCCAGAGGCTTGGAGAAAATCAGACTTGTTGGGACCCATTTATTTTCCAAATAAAGGAAGAAAGGCAGGTGGATACATGTACCTACGGTAAAGTCTAATAGACTTAGGGCTCTAGTCTAATGCTGCTGAAGTTAATAGCAAAGCTCTCCCTGCCCTAATGGGAGCAGGAATGGGCCCTTACTGTGCCGTAGTTACCCTGCAACTGGAATGGGCATGAACAATGATTTCAGTGCAGCCACAGTACAGTGCATGAGATAGGTGTTTATTTAAAAAAACCTGTTATTTGAAGAAAGCCATTGTTTATTTAAACCCTCCCCAGAAAAGAACTGTAAGAACACAAGAGCTGCCAGCCTGGGTCAGACCAGAATCCTGTCTCCAAAAGTGGCCTTTGCCAGAGCTTCAGGGGAGTGTACAGAAGAGGGCAATTATAGAGTGACTTACCCCGGTCCTCCGCTCTTGGCTTCTGGCAGTCAGAGGCTTAGAGTAACTCTGAGCATGGGGTTGTGTCCCTGATCATCTTAGCTAATAACCATTGATGGACCTATCCTCCAGGAATTTATCCAGGTTTGTCTGAACCTATTTATACTTTTGTCCATCACAACATCCCATGGCAATGAGTTTCATGGGTAGGCTGTGCATTGTGTGAAAAAGTTCTTCCTCTTGTTTGTATTAAACCTGCTGCCTATTAATTTCATCAGGTGACACCTGGGTTTTGTATTGTGCTAATGGGTAAATAACACTTCTCAGCCGACAGGTGCGGAGGAGCATGTGTTTCGGACATTCCTTAGGGGAGGATCTATTAATAGAGAATCTCTATGTCCTAGTGAGGACGAGAGGATGGAAAATGATAAAATACAGGCATGATCTGATCAGAAACAATCAAATAAAAAAGAGTCCCATTCAATTACGTCGTGTAATGGCAGACAGCTAAAAGGAGACATGTTTTTAAAATGCTTATAAACCAGTGCTAGAAGTCTAAATAATAAAATGGGTGAACTAGAGTGCCTCGTATTAAATGAAGATATTGATATAATAAGCATCACAGAAACTTGGTGGAATGAGGATAATCAATGGGATACAGGAATACCTGGGTACAAAATATATCGGAAGGACAGAACAGGTCGTGCTGGGGGGGTGAGGGGGGGAGTGGCATTATATGTGAAAGAAAGTGTAGAATCAAATCAAGTAAAAATTGTAAATGAATCAAACTGTACCATAGAATCTCTATGGATAGAAATTCCATGCTCTAATAATAAGAATATAGCAGTAGGGATATATTACCGACCACTTGACTAGAATGGTGATAGTGACTGTGAAATGCTCAGGGAGATTAGAGAGGCTATTAAAATAAAAAACTCATTAAAAATAGTGGGGGATTTCAATTATCCCCATATTTACTGGGTACATGTCACCTCTGGACAGGATAGAGAGATAAAGTTTCTTGACACCTTAAATGACTGCTTCTTGGAGCAGCTGGTCCTGGAACCCACCAGAGGAGAGGCAATTCTTGATTTAGTCCTAAGTGGAGCACAGGATCTGGTCCAAGAGGTGAATATTGCTGGACCACTTGGTAATAGTGACCATACTATAATTAAATTTAATATCCCTGTGGCAGGAAAAACACCACAGCAGCCCAACACTGTAACATTTAATTTCAGAAAGGGGAACTACACAAAAATGAGGGGGTTAGTTAAACAGAAATTAAAGGGTACAGTGCCAAAAGTGATATCTCTGCAAGCTGCATGGAAACTTTTTAAAGACACCATAATATATATCAACTTAAATATATACCCCAAACTAAAAAAAACATAGTAAGAGAACCAGAAAAGAGCCACTGTGGCTAAATAACAAAGTAAAAGAAGCAGTGAGAAGCAAAAAGGCATCCTTTAAAAAGTGGAAGTTAAATCCTAGTAAGGAAAATAGAAAGGAGCATAAACACTGGCAAATGAAGTGTAAAAATACAATTATGAAGGCCAAAAAAGAATTTGAGAAACAGTTAGGTAAAGTCTCGAAAAGTAATAGCAAATTTTTTTAAGTACATCAGATGCAGGAAGCCTGCTAAACCACCAGTGGGGCCACTGGATGATCAAGGTGCTAAAGGAGCACTCAAGGACGATAAGGCCATCGCGGAGAAACTAAATGAATTCTTTGCATCGGTCTTCACGGCTGAGGATGTGAGGGAGATTCCCAAACCTGAGACATTCTTTTTAGATGACAGATCTGAGGAATTGTCCCAGATTGAGGTATCATTAGAGGAGGTTTTGGAACAAATTGATAAACAGCAATAAGTCACCAGGACCAGATGGTATTCACCCAAGAGTTCTGAAGGAACTCAAATGTGAAATAGCAGAACTACTAACTGTACTCTGTAACTTATCATTTAAATCAGCTTCTGTACCAGATGACCGGAGGATAGCTAATGTGACGCCAGTTTTTAAAAAGGGCTCCAGAGGTGATCCCAGCAATTACAGGCCTGTAAGCCTGACTTCAGTACCTGGCAAACTGGTTGGAACTATAATAAAGAACAATATTGTCACATATAGATGAACATAATTTGTTGAGGAAGAGTCAACATGGTTTTAGTAAAGGGAAACCATGCCTCACCAATCTACTAGAATTCTTTGAGGGGGTCAACAAGCATGTGGACCAAGCAGATCCAGTGGATATAGTGTACTTAGATTTTCAGAAAGCCTTTGACAAAGTCCCTCACCAAGGCTTTTATGCAAAGTAAGCTGCCACAGGATAAGAGGGAAGGTACTCTCATGGATTGGTAACTGGTTAAAAGATAGGAAACAAAGAGTAGGTATAAATTATCAGTTTTCAGAATGGAAAGAGGTAAATAGTGGTGTCCTCCAGGGATCTGTACTGTGAACAGTCTTATTCAACATATTCATAAATGATCTGGAAAAAGGGGTAAACAGTGAGGTGGCAAAATTTGCAGATGATACAAAATTACTAAAGATAGTTAAGACCCAGGCAGACTGTGAAGAGCTACAAAAGGATCTCTCAAAACTGGGTGACTGGGCAACAAAATGGCAGATGAAATTCAATGTTGATAAATGCAAAATAATGCACATTGGAAAACATAATCCCAACCATATACATATAAAATGAAGGGGTCTAAATTAGCTGTTACCATTCAAAAAAGAGATCTTGGAGTCATTGTGGATAGTTCTCTGAAAACATCCACTCAATGTGCAGTGGCAGTCAAAAAAGATAACAAAATGCTGGGAATAATTAAGAAAGGGATAGATAATAGTACAGAAAATATCATGTTCCATCTATATAAATCCATGGTATGCCCACATCTTGAATACTGTGTGCAGATGTTGTCGCCTCATCTCAAAAAAGATATATCGGAATTGGAAAAGTTACAGAAAAGGGCAACAGAAATGATTAGGGGTATGGAATGGCTTCCGTATGAGGAGATATTAATAAGACTGGGACTTTTCAGCTTGGAAAAGAGATGGCTAAGGGGAGATATGACAGAGGTCCATAAAATCATGACTGCTGTAGAGAAAGTAGATGAGGAAGTGTTGTTTACTACTTCACATAACACAAAAAGTAGGGGTCACCAAATGAAATTAATAGGCAGCAGGTTTAAAACAAATAAAAAGAAGTATTTCTTCACACAACGCATAGTTAACCTGTGGAACACCTTGCCAAAGGATGTTGTGAAGGCCAAGACCATAACAGGGTTCAAAAAAGAACTAGATAAATTCATGGAGGATAGGTCCATTGATGGCTATTAGCCAGGATGGGTAGAAATGGTGTCCCTAGCCGCTGTTTTCCAGAAGCTGGGAATGGGCGACAGGGGATGGATCAGTTGATGATTACCTGTTCTTTTCATTCCCTCTGGGGCACCTGGCACTGGCCATTGTCGGAAGACAAGATACTGGGCTAAATGGATCTTTGGTCTGACCCAGTAGGGCCGTTCTTATGTTCTTATGTTACTCACTTTTTCCACACCGTTCATTATTTTATAGACCTCTATCATATCACCCAATGCGTCTCTTTTCTAAGCTAGACAGCCCTAATCTTTTTAGTCTCTCCTTGGACAGAAACTATTCTGTACCCTTCAACATCCTTGTTGCCCTTCTCAGTACCTTTTCCAGTTCCACTATATCCTTTCTGAGGTGGGGCGACAAGAACTTGACACAGTATTCAAGGTATGGGTGGACCACAGATTTACATAGAGGCATTGTGACATTTTCTGTCTAATTTTCTATCCCTTTCCTAATAGTTCCTAATATACTGTTAACCCTTTTGATCATTGCTAAACATTGAGCAGCAGTTTTCAGAGAATTATCCACAGTGACTCCAAGATCTCTTTCTTTGGTGGTAACAGCTAATTTAGAATCCATCATCATATATGTAGGATTATTTTTTCCAATGTGCTTTGGTTTGCACTTATCAACACTGAACTTCACCTGCCATTTTGTTGGCCAGTCACGCAGTATTGTGAGATCCCTCTGTAACCCCTCATAGCCTGCTTTGCACTTAACTATCTTGAATAAAATTGTATCATCTACAAACTTTGCCTCTTCACTGTTCACACCCTTTTCCAGATCATTTATGAATA